CCCCCCCCACCATCTTATTCGCCCCCACTCTGCTTTCTTTGCTCGTACAACCAAACAGACAATGCAGAAATTCGAGCTACCATACCCGAGGACCGACTGCTACTTTGGGCACCTCAAGACGGCTGGCAACCACTCTGCGCCTTCTTGAATCGGCCTTTGCCCGCTCAAGATACGCCAGTGCCGCGTATCAACGATGCGGCTCAAACGCTGCAATTCGCAAAGGGTGAGAGAGAGCATCTTCTGCACACCCTGCCTGCGCATTCGTTTTGATGAGTCAAGCTAATGCTGCCTTGACGCCCAACGCCGGCCACGCCCTATGGACGTGTTTGCGATGAGCCTAGACCTGACTAGAGCTGCCGTCATCAGAGTCTTGCGCCGCCTGCTCTTCTTCCTGCTCCTCGCTTCGTCGCTTACCCTCACGACCAGACTCTTCAAGACGAAAGCCTGACGTCAAACATTTGGCTCAAAATCGCCGTAACTTCATCTCGATATGCATGACATTCTGCTGAAGAAGCTGCGGGAACTTGTTCTTAGATGATGTGAGCATCGAGGAAGCTGCGGACTGTGGACCAATAACCCTTAAAGTCGTTTCGTGCAATACCGCAATGAGGAGCATCGTCCCACCTGACCAGATTTACGGGCGCAGAAACGTTGGGAGGCTTTGCGCCACTCTTCTTTTCCTCTTCCGAAGGAGCTGCCGAGGAGCCCTTTTTGATCTGTTGAGGTTTGGGCTGCGGAGCGGATAGCTTCTTGCTGCACTCGGCGGCATGCGCCTCGACGGCTTCATACTCTATCAACTCGTCGATCTTGCTGTACAAGTACAATCTGGGTGGAAGTTTGGCCGCTTCTGGCGACGTATCCGTCGCAGCGCTTCCATTCTTGGCAGTCTTGTCCAGCTTTCGATTGGATCCGCTACCTTGTATCGTTCGAGTCTCCAAGCCTGGTGTCCACCTCTTCGGAGAGTTCAGAGCAGCACGCACCAAGTCGCTCCACGTCCTCATGCCGAATAGACGCTTGAAAGCGAGGACGAAGGTCAGGAAAGCGTAAAGTCCTGACCTCACTACGGCACGAAGCAAGATCGACTTGGCCATCGGCATGGTGAAGGCTGTCGCTCCTGACCATGCCGTCTGCTTGCCCGGACTCGAGTCAAAGATGACAGCACGAGGAGCGGGCACATCTGCTGGAAGCATGGAAAGCAGCTGCGAGAGGTTCGATGCACCTCCATCGGAGACTGTGCGCAGCGCGATACATGAAAGTGAAAACGTCAGACGTGTCGTTCATAGGACCTGCCCCTTCCGCTAGGCTCGACTCACAGCTGTGAATGATCATGCCTTTGGGTGGAGGAGTGAAGCTGCTCTTGGGTCTTCCCTGTTCTTCCATCTCCCTGACCTTCTGCGTGTCCATCGTAAGCAGTCCTTGATTCTCTCGCCTCTCCTCGTACTGGTCATGGAGCTCAGCAATCGAGTTTTCTCTTGCTCCTTCCTCTTGCAACACCTTGACCACGCTCTGAAGCGCCGCGTGTCGTGCAGCCGCGGAGGCCATGTATGACTGTCCTGTCGAGAGCTTGAGGACTAGCGTAGCTCTTGGATACAATGCAGCGTAAGGCGCTGCGTAGCGCGAGACGAGACGTAGCGGGGCGTCCATCCAGCTGCAAGCGATGTAGCAAGCGCAGATCGCTCATCAGCACATAGAGCGAGATTTGACAGGTGCACGCACACATCATCGATTTCCGCGCGCGTCGACACTCACCCGAAGATCAGCACGACCTGCGGACTGCAATCGAGAGGTTGCAACGGAGGCTCCTCTGTTCTAAGCTTCGTCGTTCTGTGTTGAGGTGCAGGTCGGTGAACATGTACAGAGCGAGAGAGCGCAACAAACTCGATAGGCGGTGCAGCAGTCTTCTCGGCAGGTTTGGATGCCGATGGGGCAGAAGCGTTCGACGGTTGCTGCGGAGCGTCGCTCTTCTGCGCTTCCTGATTCGGAGCGCCGTCCTTCTGCGGGGGCCTGTCGTCGAGTTTCGTCTGCGCTTCCTTTTGCCGATCCTGCTTGGGTTGCTCTGCGCCTCTTTGCTGCTCAGACGGCTTGTCCTCGCTGCGGCTCTGTTCCGAAGTCTGATCTTTGACTTGCTCCTTCTTCGCATCGGCCACCTTGCGTCTGGCCAACTCTTCAGGTGCGACCTTGGGCGTCAGCTCGCTCTTGTCCATCTCGATCAACTCGGGTTCTTCGCCTGCATGACTCGGCTCCGGAGCGTTTTGAGCATTAGGTCCTCCCACAGGAGGCTTGGAAGATGGCGCAATGTGTCCAGTGCCTCGGTGCCATGTTTCGTTCTCTGGAGCGGGCTGCGGGGGAGCGTCGGAGCTCAGGGCTGGCTGAGGCAGCGCGTTGTTTGGCGTCTCGGGCTTAGCAGTGGGCTTATTGTTCGGGTTGCTTTGCTGAGCACCCGGCGAGTGTTGTGATGCGGTGTTAGTGGAGGCACCAGCAGCAAATGCAAGAGAGGCGGAGGGAGATCGGGAAGGGTGGAGTGGAGACGCGGAGCGCGGCGATCGAGAAGGTGAAGCGGGCGACGGTATCAAAGAAGGGGAATTTGGACGAGCAGAGCCGGCAAGCAAGGTGGTAGATGATGAGGGCGAAGGAGGCGCGAGGCGTGGCGAGGAAGGTATGCGCGAGGGAGAGCGATCGGGAGCGGAAAGAGAAGAAGAGGAAGAGGGTGAGCGCAGAGTTCCTGATGATCGAATGCGTGGTATGGAAGACGTTCGAGGAGCGCCAGACGGGGACACTGGTCGAGATGGAGAAGACGGAACAGGCGGCGATGTGTTCGCTGACGCCGCGTCTGGTTCGGGAGAAGCGCCTCTTGGCGCAGAGAGGCGAGGTGAAGGAGCACGCAATCTGCTAGGTGATCGGGAGTCTGCAACGCCCAAAGAGGCAGATGCGCGCTTCGCCTGAGAGCTGGAGGAGGAGACAGAGGGAGAATCGGATGATGCTCGTGCGCTCGCAGTGGGTTCCGAAGCTCGGGGCGCGCGAACGGAAACGGGAATCAAAGAAGACTTGGCGACTCCGCTGCTCTCATTACTAACGTTTTTGGGGTTCTGCTTGTTCTTCGATCCAGATTTGCCCTTGCTGTCTGTCGCGCTCTGCTGGCTCGACATTGTGTAAGAGCCAGGTGGTGTGATGCTGCCGGTTGAGCAGCTTGGTAGAGGCAACGAATGAGTGCGTTGTGGGATGGCAAGTGAGCGACTGATGAGGAGGGATCTGGCAATAAAGGTGAGTGAAGGGACGCTGGACAAGATCATGTCGTTGAAGAAAGCACGATGATCTGCATACACAAGCACGAATGAATCGCGGGCGGTGCTCGTACACAGGTCCTTTTGTGCTCCTCGACCATCCATCGCAGCCAGCGCAAGCCGGATGTCGGATGGACGAAGCGTCCGACCGGTTTAGCGGCGAGCCTGCTGGAGAAAAGGCTCAGTCAGCGCTGCGCGATCAGCATTCAGCAGCCCCAACACATGATCAAGTATGAGGGACATGCGGCCGGTCAGCGCGCGGTGGTGGGACAGCGCGTGAAATGACAATTATTGCTGCTGCTGCTGCTGCACGGCGTGCATGACACACACGCTACTCTGCTGCTATGTGGTGGTGGAAGTCTGAGTATCAGTGGTGATGTCATGGCCACATGCACGCGACGTAGAGTCGATCTACCGGCAGAACACCACGTGACTGCGTGGACAGCGGATGCGCACGGACCTCAGCCCACAAAGATGCTGCATCTCTCATCAGCCATGCCTGCCTGCACTCATGACTCACAACCGACTGCCACGGAAACTCACGACTCCCTTTGCCGAAGAAGGACTCGTGACTTGAGTTCACCCAGTCGCAAAGCCTTCTCATTAGTTTCCTCCCACCCACGATCTACGATTCACGCTTCGACTTTTCCACACACTGCAACTTCCAACGCCAAACCAGCTCCGAAGCATCAAGGCTTGTTCGAAATCCCACGTCGAAGTGTCCGTCTCGTAAGTGTTTCATCAAAGCCAGACTAGACTTGACGCCCGTCTGACACAAGCTCCGGGCTTCACACACACCCCTCTGTAGATCTGCCTTTTCATCATATTTGCACGACCAAGATGGCAACCTCGGCACCACCTGCGCGCCGACGTCTGGTCGGCGTCTCTTACAAGATGTACTTTGATCTAGCCAAGACAAACGATTATCTGGAAGCCGTTCTCCCACCCCTTGCCCACCTGATCACCTCGCTCAATCAGCCAACCGACGTCTTTGTCATTCCCGATTTCCTAACCATCCTTCCCTATGCACAGATCATCAAGTCCAACCATTCGCCTCTCTTGCTGGGTGCTCAAGACAGTCATCATTCGGACGCTGGCGCATTCACTGGAGAAGTTTCGCCAAAAAATTTGGCGCAGGCAGGAGTCAAATTTGTGGAGATGGGTCATGCGGAACGTCGAAAATTGTTTGGAGAGACGGACGAGAGCGTAGCTCTGAAAGCGGAGGGGGCTGTGAGGAACAACATGATCCCTCTGATCTGCATTGGCGAAGTGACGAAGGGAGGAGGCGTACAAAAAGCGGTGGATGAATGCTGGGTTCAAGTGGAACAGGTGTTTGCCAAGATCAGAGAAGATGCAGAAGTGGTGTTGGCGTACGAACCGGTTTGGGCCATCGGAGCTTCCGAACCTGCAAGCGCGGAACACGTCGTTGCTGTCACGCAAGCGCTCAGACAGAAAGCGCACAGCCTAGGAAGATCGGGAGTGGTCAGAATCCTGTACGGCGGATCGGCTGGACCGGGTCTGTTCACCAAGTTGGAAGAGGGCGTAGATGGTCTGTTCCTTGGCAGATTTGCCCACGATCCTAAAGCTTTCCTCGAAACCATCAAGGAGGTCGGCGGCGGTGTCAAATAAAATGTGCGCATGTAGACATTGCATTTGCAAGCACTGAATGCATCAGTAGTGAAAGCGCCACAAAGCAGAGGCATCGGGATTGCGATCACATCATGACGCCATGCATCTACGCCAACGAGATCACACGTCGTCCAGCTGCTGGCTGTCAAACACGAACGGTCATCTACTTCTCAAAGATCAGCCCGATGTCTTGCTCCTTGGCTCTTGCCCCACCGTAGCAGATCCCTCATGATGCTAGTAGCGCCCGATTTGTAGCTACCTCCGAACATTCTTGGGCACATGCGAGGGAGCAAGGCAAATGCTCGTGAGTGGATGCGAGCAGCGTCATGGCAAATGCAAATGCGGGCGCGAACACTTACAAAGCGTGATTGAGGTGATGATACAGCTGCGGTGCATCGCCAAAAATGCGTAGTGCAGGCAGGCTACCATTTGAGTGCGCTGAAGGGGGAAGATGGCCGTGAGGGAGAAGAGATGTAGCGCAACTCACCTCGTACGCCTTTTGTCTCTCTTCGTAGTGCGGTTGAAGCTTTGGGATCTGCGGAGCGATGCGCCAGGCAGAGACTTTGTTAGACGCAGAACGGCGTTCGGATGGGGTTTGATGTGCTCAGACTCACCACATCGTGATATCTACGCCATTCGCAATGCGACAGCGCGTACGAGGTACGTTTGGTGTGTAGAGTCGTATGAAGAAGCATTCCCATGAGCTATTCCGAGAGTCTCGAGCCGAGTAGTGATGCAGAAGTTTGCCTCGACGCCTGACTCACCCCCGAAAGAAAGCGCTGCTGAATCCACCGAACATGTGGCAAATGCCCAATTCGGCTTCATTGTGACCGTAGTACGAGCTTGGGCTGATCCGCGCATCGAATGTCCGTAAGATGGCCGCTAGTCG